GCTCACTTTATGTGCCTTTAATAGGGCTATTACTCTGCAAGGTTCTCTGAATGCCCCATTTAGATTTCCTGTACACCAAACTACATTTGGGACAAATGCATGGAGAATAGTCTTCACTGAGCAGAAGTACCCACATTCTTGGTGGATCCACAATCACCACTGTTGCTTAAAAGGCACTCTCCTCCAGACTCCGACCTCTCTTCTGCAGCAAAGTAACCTTTGTGTTGGCAGAAGCACTCACGCTCAAGTGAGTTGTCCAGCCATAAGTTCTAACCTGATAAAAAGCCCTTCCAAACAACTCGGTGTTGTTGGTTTTGTTGTTGTTGCTGCTGCTTTTTTTTTTTCCCCTTAAGATCAAGATCAGGAATGCAAGACGTGGCAGAAAGAGCAGCCAAGATTGTCTGTTTGACCCAAACCTCCTATGTCATGTACAAGCCTCCCTCTATCCATCAGGCTCTATTGTGAAGTATGGGAAGTCAAGCCAACTAAGAGCAATCCTGTGAAAAGAACTGGAGAGCTGTATCACACCTGCATGGATGACTTAACTAAAGTCAACAAGAAGAAAAATTAACAGTTTCACTCTCACTCCATGGCTAGGTTAACGTGATGGAATTAAACTCCATTGGTCACGATGAACATAACAGCTGTTCTGAAAGATCTTCCTTTAATAAACACTTCAGCACCACTTCCCTCCTGTTTTTCCCACTGCTTATGTTATCTCATTCCAATTGCTTACTCCAGAAATAAGGCCTAAGCTGAGCTGCATTTTCTGAAATAAGCACTAGATTTCAGTGATTTTAACTTACAACATAAACCTGCTTTCATTTTCCGGAAATCACCATGCAGGAAGTTATATAAAAGCAGAGCAGAGCAACAGTTCACCACACCCAGAGGCCTCCATCCTCCTCTTCCTGCAGTAGTGAGGGTTGGAATATAAAACTGAACAGGGCTGTCCACATCTAGCAGCACAGAATGGCCTATAAACTTACACCAATCTTAACTGAAGATAAAGTGTTAGTACATCTACATGCAGTATGCGTCTCTGAAAGTACTCAGGAATGTTTAACCAGCACATGCAGCATAAATTTGCTGTAAAATATCACAAAGGCTCAAATAATTACTAGACAAATATCTTTCTCAGTATATTCCACAGGTAATGTATATAGAAATATGATTAATTAAAAAAAACCTGGCATTTAGACGTTTAAAACATTAACAATACTACTCTCACCTCTGAGGATGGAGGATCTGCTTAAGTTAGATATACTGAAAGTTAAACATACTACATAGCAAATTATAAGGATCACTACCTGTAACATATCCATGCTCCTCAGAAAATTCCCATTCAAATACTGCTGAGTCCAATTTGCTCCAGTAAGACTCACAGTATAAGACGGGATACCGACAGCTTGCTAAAAAGCCTTTAAAAATCTATCTTGCAGTGAACAGGATGCATAGAAATGGTAGATAATGGTATTTGATATGCTATATTGATTACAGATATTAGAAAGAGTGGCTAATTGGAAGCAACAAGTAATTCCACTGGAGAGAAAATGAAGTAAAAATTCTAAACATATAATGGTGATTGTTTTGGCAATACTGCGTGAGTTTTAATAGTGGACAGTAAGAGAGAAGGTATTGGAAAAGCATGTCTTCTCCATTTACTTTCATTCTCCTAACAAATTCCATACACAGACCCAGCTGAACTGGGACAGGCAGGATTCCCTTACATAACCAGGCTTCTACCTGCACAGAAGAGGACTTTCAAAGACCTTGTTAAAAAGTCAGTTTCAGTACATGGCATTACTGCCAAAAATATTTTCCAGAGAATTTTGCAAAAAGTTAACAGAAATCACACTTGTTCCAAGATTAATGTTGCAAATTTGTCCCGGTCAAGGACTTCAATGACGTTTAATAGATTTGCAACTCAAAGTGCTCCTCCTCCCCCTCTCAATGCTCCCAAGAAAATTTTCTCCTTACCAATATCCTTTAACTTGACTTTGGCCCGCTGTTGGTGGATTTTTACAGTGACTTTGTTCTCTAGCTTACTTTTCATAAAGATGACTTAGAATACCTGTTTTTAAGTTTTCTTAGTGTTAAATCCAAAATAACAGCTTTAACTTTAACAGCCTTAAAGTTTCATGCATAATGAGAATTCACTGCTAACACAGCTATAGAATGTGCCAAGATCAGATGAAAATTGAAAAATGGTCTTAAATTTAATTGGGACTGTGTTCTTAGTGCAGGGAAGGCCTTGATTAGTGTGCAAGTAGGAATACACTCAGTTTTTGTTTCAGTTCACAGTACATGACTATAAAGTAAAAGCCAACAAAAAGCCATATTTTGCCTTCTGCTATAAAGAAGTGCAAATTTAAGCTCCAAATTCAGGCAGCTGTTTTTTCAGTACAGAGGGGGAAAAAAAAAAAAAAAAGCTTTGAAGTTGTTGTTGCTCATGTCAATGCAGTGAGATCCCAAATCTGTCTTTCATGGTGTGCCTGCTTGTGGGCCCACTGCAGAACCCAGCTGACACATACACCTGACTTCATGCAGATGAGTTTCAGTGGCAGAAAGAGCACCATTCAAATACATGCATTTTAACTCATACTAAAATATTTTCCTGGAGCAATCCAGTGTATTGAGTTTCAAGTTTTCAGTTGCAAATATCCTCACTGAAGTAAATCTCTCTCTGACTATCTTTCTAACACTCTAAAAATCTCACCTTATTTTAGGCCACTTAGCACAAAAAGCAAAGCCCTTCACATTGCTGAAAACAACTGTATCAGGACATAAAGCACAAAGAATTCATGCCATGTGTTCTTGTGTCATGTAACAAAAACTCTATGTTTATGCGTACAGATATGATTTCAAAGACCAGAAATTATAACAACTTCCCAATAGCTTTCTCTTCTTTTGTGAGTCATCTCAAGAATGCCTGAATATCCTAATTTTTAAAATACAAGATCAATTAAAGGATATTTTCTGATGTGTACAGCACAGGAATAATCAGCAATGCAAAAGAATTGTGACTGCACCCATCTCAAGCCAGTAGTCATTACCTAAACATCCCTACTAATTTCAGTGTGAGGCCTAAAGACTATATCTTCCATTGGACAACGAAATCTGTGTTAGTTGCTCAGGGCATGGTTGGGACTATCCATTAATATTTACCACATCTCTCTTTCGTATTTAACCCCCTCAAAAGGAATATGGCTAAGAGACACTTCTTAGCTTTTCAGTTTGAAAGAACAGACTTAACAAAATTTACGAATGCAGTTAATTATATATATATGTGCTATATATATCTTATTCTTGGTTTTCAAGAGATGTTCCAAAGAGAAGTAAGAACAAATTTGGTACCCTATTACTTCTGGAAAGGGGGTGGCATCTTTCGCTACACCTCACAGCAGAATGCTAAGGAGAAATACAGAGGGGATGGACAGAAATGGTATAGAAGGGGAAAGTTAACATCTCAGCTATAAAACACTTTTATTGGCTGCTTGTAAATGTATATCAAGTTGCATAGACTTTCACTTTACAGTGAAAGTAAACAAGTTTCCTTTTACACATACATCAAAGTTATGTCTCCAAGAAAGCATCCTTTAAAATCTTTGACTTATATTGAGCTAAGAGATCAGAATCAGAGGCAGAGGCTGTATGCCTTTAGAAGCTTATTCTATAGTTTTGTATAACTTGCAAAAAAGCTTCAGCCACAACATTAGTATTACTATCATAAAAGATGCCACAGGAGATATTTGATATTAAAGAGCTCGTGGAAATCAAATAGAGCTGTCAAGTGTCCATTAGAAAACGAGAGGAAAAAAACTATTTCTTGGAAATCATGAAACAAGGTTGCAGTAAAAATTGAGAGAGTAAGTTGCAAAATGATGAAAATACATCTTTTCATTTCCAACTAAGAAACTTCATCCAAGTCCAGCACTGTGACTATAAGCATAAATGAACTCTTCATAGAAAAATGAGTCAACCAAAAATGAGGCCACTGATCACATGGCTTCATTCCTTGCATTCTGTAGCTTTATTGTTCCCAATAAAAATGATTTTGATGGACACTGACAAACATGTATAGTTCACAAATGATACACCTGCAACCCAAAAAAACTGTTAGGATGCAAGCGTGACATAGGGGTGCAGCATTTCACCTGTAATGTATATGAGACTCAGCTCTAACAGAAAAACTGATTGTATTTTCTACCGTTGATCCAAAACAAATCCGGAGCAACCCTCACATGTTTGTGACCTCAAAAATGTAGAGAACAAATCTGTGCATGTGTACTTAGAGCAGCACGCCGTCCCGAGTTGCAATGCATGTGAATGTTGCCTAGAGTCCAGCAGGAGGAAGTTAAGCAATATTGCGCAGGTGTTCGTAGGCCAGCGGCCAGATGCAGCATGTGTGAGTGAGCCACGAGGAGGTCGCACTTTCCACAATGAATCGCTGTAAATGCAGTTTCCTTTACACAGCCATATGCATCTCAGGCAGACGGCGAGTTTTATTTTATTATTATGATACATCTGAACGGTTACGCCTAAGAGGAGCTTAAAACTCCTCGAGAACCGTTCTGTTTCTGTAGATTCAGGTCGGCGGGACTGCATTTAGGCACGAGCATCTCGCACAACGCCGGGCAGGACATGGCATGGCAGGGCATGGCAGGGCAGCTGGTCGCTGAGGCAGCCGCGGGGCTGCCGGGCCGGGCGCATCCCTGCCTCCCTCCCGCGCGGCCCAGGGTGGGGAGGAGCGCGCAGCCGGGCCGGGGCGATGCCGCTTCGCTGGCTGCAGGCGAAGTCCGAAGCGCGCCCCGGAGCTGCTCCTGAGGGCCCGGGGAGGCTGCCCGGCGGGCGCGGGACGGGACGGGCCGAGCAGGGCAGGCCCCCGGCCGCACCGCTCCCTCCTCCGCCGTCGGCAGGACGGCCCGGCCCGGTGCCCGGCCCCGCGCTAAGTTCCCCCCTCAGGGTCGGCGCCGTCCGAGCGGCCGCGTCCCCCTTACCTGTGCTGCAGCCCCACCAGCCCCAGCGTGATCACATGGGGCACGTCCAGCTCGGTGGGCCACACGCCGGAGGCGATGCAGCCGAACACGCCGCATTCTTCGCGGATGCCCAGCTCCTCCAGCTCCATGGCGGCACGCGGCGGCGGGACCCGGCCCGGCCCGCTCCGGCGGATCCCTCCCGCGCGCTCTTACGGGCGCCGCGCGCAGCCAACAGCGCCGCGCCGCGCGGAGCCGCGGGTACCCTGCCGGGCGGCCTCCTCATTTACATGCCGGGGGGGCCCCTCTCCGCTCTCCGCCCTCCACCCCCCGCCCCGCCACCGGACGGGGCAGCGCTCGCTCGGGGGGTGGGGATGGAGGGGCGCGGGTCGGCCCCGCCGCGTTGGGCGGCGATTGGCGCGCGGGCTCCGCCGCCCCGCCTGCCCGCCCCTTCCGCCGGGCCCTTCTTACTCCCGCGGCGGGCCGGCCGCGTGCGCTCAGCTCTTCTCCTGTGCCCTAGGTGCCCGCCGCCGCCGCAGTCACCGCCATGGCCCCCGCCGCCTCAGGTAACGACCGCCGGGTGCCGATCGCGGGGAGGAGGGCGTGGGAGCGGGAGTCGGAGCCGCGTGGCCGCGCTCCGCGTTGGGCCGTCTGCGGAAAAGTTTCTCTTTGCGACGCCGTCTTCCAACCGTTTCTGGTTCCCTCGCCCCGCGGGCGGAGATGCTGCTGTCCGCGTCCCGGAGGCGGAGCGTGGGCGGTGAGCCCCGCGGCTCCCGGAGCCGAAAAGCTCCGCGCCTCGTTGCCGTCGCGGTCGGAGCGCCGCGGGGCGTGCCGCTCAGCTGCGTTTCTGGGCTTCGGCATCTGGAAAGCAGCGAGAAAGTTGTGAAAAGGGCTCCCGCCGTGCCGAGCCCTCCAAGCAGCGCCCGCAGCCCCGGGCTGCGTGAGGAGATGGCGCTGGGGCTGGTCGGTGCGGAGCCCCTCGCGCGTGCTGACGTACGCGACCAGAACGCTTCGCATCTGAAACGCTCTTAATTTTTTTCTCTAGAACTGAAACTTGGTAAGAAAGTTAATGAAGGTAAAACGAAAGAAGTGTATGAGTTGCCGGATATCCCGGGATGCGTCCTGATGCAGTCCAAGGACCAAATAACGGCGGGGAATGCCGCCAGGAAGGACCGGATGGAGGGGAAGGCTGCCATCTCCAACACCACCACCAGCTGCGTGTTCCAGCTGCTGCAGGAAGCAGGTTGGTATTGCAGAGGTAGAATTAATGCCCGCATGCTGCGCATGTTGTTACCCAACACCGCCGATTCCGTGCTCCTCCTTAGCCTCCCTGAAGGCTCTGATATGTTTTGTTCAGACTTAATTTTTTAGTTCACCTTTTCCTCTGATACCGCAGAGCTGGGTGGGTGTCCCAGTCATTTGGAACACTAGAGTATCTGACATAATCTTCCGACCACATATATCACTGGTACAGGTTCCCCCCTAGTCTGGGAGACCTCCCTTCTGCTGCTCAGTCCCAGCTGATCTAAAAACTGTATGATCTATTATAAAAAGTAATAGATTATACTCAGTTGGCAGAGTCATAGCTACTATGTTCCGTGTGTGAGAAAGAGGAAGAAGGCCCCTGTAGAATTACATCTATTTCTGTACAAGTAGTTCTTAAAGCATTAACAGATCGAGGCCTTCTGCAAAGAGATTGGTGAAGAAGAGTGTGTGAATGGGTTATTTGGTATAACCTCCAGCTGCTGGCTTCCCTGGGAAGCCTGTTCTTGATGCGTGATTTAAGTATCTTGCTTAAGTCTATGTGGCCAGTAATTAACCTAATAATTTAAACATCCAGTAGCCTATGGGTATAGTCTGAATTTTAAATGCTAAGAAGGTGCCTCAAAGATTTTTAAGTGGCTTTTACTTGGTAGTTTCTGGCACAATAAATTCCAGTTGCGTTTTGAAGCAACAAAAGAATTTCCAGGATTCTTTCTATTCTGGTTTGATTATTTGAGGGCATAAATTGCAGATAACATGAATGCCTTATTGTAGAAGTTTGTTTGCTTTTCGCAACTCTTCTTAACTTCTTCAAAGGTGGTAGTTCAACAAATTCTGTTTAAAGTTTTTCTTTCCTTTATAGTGGAACCAATGTGAGCCTTTGATAAGCACACATACAGGGGGGGGGGAAAGCCCTTTTCTTAGGCTTAAAATACCCTAAAAAGATTCACTGCCTCCTTTAAGTACAGAGAAGTGCAAGATTTAGTTGTGCTTAAACTTAAAGTTCCTTGTGACTCTTGATTCAACTGTGGAGTTTGCCTACTAATGAAACTAAGCTGCCATCCTTCTGTTTAGGAATCAAAACAGCTTTTGTCAGGAAACAGAGTGACACAGCTTTCATAGCAGCTCACTGTGAAATGATCCCAATTGAATGGGTCTGCAGAAGAATTGCTACTGGCTCTTTCCTCAAAAGAAACCCTGGTGTCAAAGAAGGCTATAAGTTTTACCCGCCTAAAATTGAGATGTTTTACAAGGTAAGTTGCTCTCCTGTGGTGAGAATCAAACTAGAGATAGAAAGAATAACAAGCCAAAGTGTATAAAGTAGATAACTCAAAAAAAAAAAAAAAAGTGCTTTTAAAAATGCTGAATGGTAAAGAGCATATTTAATTTAAAAACAACAATGTTATTTTCTAATGGCTAATTTTCCCTTATAGCAACTGAACTTGCATGCTTTATCTGTTTGGTTCCGTAACAGGATGATGCTAATAATGATCCACAGTGGTCTGAGGAGCAGCTAATTGAAGCAAAATTCTCTTTTGCTGGACTTACTATTGGTAAGACTGAAGTAGATATTATGGCTCGTTCTACTCAAGCTATTTTTGAGATCCTGGAAAAATCATGGCAGCCCCAAAACTGCACTCTGGTGGACCTGAAGGTATGAAAATCTGATTTCCCATTATCCTAATTTTGACAGGAAATATCTCTCTATAGTTCTTACAGAAGCTTCTTATTGTTTTTATAGATTGAATTTGGTGTTAATATTTTGACCAAAGAAATCGTTCTTGCTGATGTTATTGATAATGATTCATGGAGACTGTGGCCATCAGGAGACAGAAGCCAACAGAAGGACAAACAGGTAACATTTTAGTCTTTAAATTTTAAGTCAGCGGGAAAGGAGAAGGATTAAGAAAAATGATGTTTCTCCCTATAGTTAAGCATCTGTTTTTTAGAGTGACTTTATTATAGATACTTATGTTGTTATAGAGTAGCTAATAAGATATTTAGCATCTGATTCTGTTTTCTTTAAATTGTGGGGGAGAGTAGGGAAGCAGGGGTGTTACTTTGTGATCATCGGACTTAAAGCAGTTCTGCTCTCTGATTTATTGTATTGTTGAATGAATCATGTAGTGGCATCCTCAAGTGAATTGCTCTGAATGTACTTTTGTTCATCTTCCTAAAATAAGGTACATGATAACATCATGCAGAACCTTGGTTGGCTAGTGCAGTGCTGCTGCAGGCAATCAAATCACTGCAAATCCAACTTCAAATTAGTTGTTTCCCTAAGCTTACTCACTGGGAAGCTATTGAAACCTTGATAGCCCTGTACCAATGTCAGCTTATCTTCTTTCCTTGAAATGGCATAAATACCTCAGTAGGGGTATTTGTACCAATGGTGGTAGCAAAATGAATTGCTTTGTGCACCTGAAGCAAAAGATCAGCTTTAACACTTGCTTTTTTTTTTTTTTTTTTCCTTTTCAGTCCTATCGAGACCTGAAGGAAGTGACTCCTGAAGCACTGCAGATGGTTAAGAGAAACTTTGAATGGGTTGCAGAAAGAGTAGAGGTATTTTTCTGGTGGCTTTTTTCTTCTAATGAACAATGTATGTGGTCTTTGATAACTGTCTTCAGTCCTGTTGACTGTTTTTTTTCTCTTTTTTTTTTTTTTTTTCCCTCCTGTCTTCTCCCTTGATTCTTCCTTGTAGTTGCTTCTGAAAACAAAGAGCCAAGGTAGAGTTGTGGTATTGATGGGATCTACTTCTGACCTTGGCCACTGTGAGAAAATAAAGAAGGCATGTGCAACCTTTGGAATTCCTTGTGAGTTAAGAGTAACCTCTGCTCACAAAGGGCCAGATGAAACTCTGAGGATCAAAGCAGAATATGAAGGTAGGTGTCAAAGAACTAATGAATGAGAATGAGCAGTATCATGTACAAAAATGACTTGTCAACCTAAGGACCTCTGTAGGCTTTCTTTTCCAGAATTTTTTGCTTGTTAAACACAGCAATAAACTGTTACAATGCAGTTCTACTCTTGTTAATTGCATAATGATAGATGGTAGACTGCACTAAGCAATACGAAGTAGCATATTGTCTCAGAACTTCCATTACTCAAAAGCTTGAACTCTGATTATATCTCAGTACTGAACTTCTTTGCCCAAGCCATGATTGTGCTAATACCTGCATCAGTAGGAAGATACTACAGTAAATGTATTTCTGAAACAGGGAATAATGGTGGTTTCTCCAGCTGACTATAAATGTCCTTTGGTTACCTACAACACAGATGATGCTGCCATCATCCTACCCATTTGTTGAAAATGTTCAATCATTTTCTTATGTGATGAGAGAAACATTTGATTTTAATTCAGATTTTTACCAAGAAAACTTGACTTTTCTTTGAAACAGTTTATAGGCTAGCAGAGAAGAGATAATACTCCTACAAGTTAATTTTTCCTTACACAGAGGAAAAAAATTAGCATTTAGGGACAGGAGGAAGCAGTTATACAGGCTCAAAAGTACAAATGTGGTCATCACAGCTGAGATATTCACTTGGTTTGAGATGAATTAAGACTTTAGAAAAAAGAACTATAGTTTAACACTTCAGCTAGAACTTAGCTGACTAAATCTCTCATTTTTAAATGTTGCTCTTTCTGAAAGTTAAGCAGCACCCATTCCTCTGATACTTTCTCTGAAGCAGAGGCAGAATTAAGACATGCTAACTTGTTCAGTTATGCTAAATAGTATCTGGGTTTTAAGGCTGTAAGATCAGTTGTTTCTACAAAGGGGAAAATTCAACATAAATTTTAGGGCTGTGTAACAGAATGAAAGAAATTAGTTGCAAACTGAAGAACTGCATACTCAGAACTCCAGAAAAGAAAGTGGGAGGAAACAAGATGGACTGCCTATCATTTTCTTTTTTTTTTTTCCCTGCAAGGAGATGGAATCCCAACTGTGTTTGTTGCAGTAGCTGGCAGAAGCAATGGTTTAGGACCAGTAATGTCTGGTAACACTGCTTACCCTGTTGTCAACTGTCCTCCCCTCTCATCTGACTGGGGTGCTCAGGATGTGTGGTCTTCTCTGAGACTGCCCAGTGGTAAGATGACCTTCAGCATGTGCAATTGTACATAAAATAGCTATAGTTATTTTATCATAAACATGTATATGCACTGTTTGGAACAGTGGTTTGAGCAGTACTGAACAGTCTCTAGAAATCTTCTGCATGCAGTCTTTGGGCTTTTTGCAGCTGAGAAGTCAAAGAGATTATGTACAAATACACTTTAGAGAGACATGATCCTTTGCTTATCCTTGCTAAATATTTGAGTTTGAAAAAGGAGTTAGTATTAATGGAAAGCTGTTGCTTCTGCTTATAGTACTCCATTTTACTTTGGTGAATTTACTGTGATGAAAGATCAAATAATATCTTTCTCTACAATTAGCTTGACTCTTCTACAGCAGTGTATTGCTATTATATGAATTCTGATCAGTTAGTGACTAGAACAGCTATTTGGCAACTTAAAGGCCCAGAAGCCTGTTACCTCTTCCTTCATAAACTTATTGTTATGCTGGCTTTGGATTTCAAATGTCATGGTGAGAGAAATATTGAGATGTTTGACACTTCAGTAGCTTTAAAACTAAATCATGTGGCTCTTGAGGGCTGAAATAAGCACTGTCTTTAAACAGTCATTTAGAGGCAACGTTTTGCTTGTGCTTATGAAATGTTTTTTGAAAGTATCATTCTGCTTTCTTTGCAGGTCTTGGCTGTCCTACTACTTTGTCACCTGAAGGAGCCGCTCAGTTTGCTGCCCAGATATTTGGGTTAAATAACCACTTGGTATGGGCCAAATTGCGATCAAACATGTTAAATACATGGATCTCCTTGAAACAGGCTGACAAAAAATTGCGGGAGTGCACCTTGTAAGTCCAACAAGTAAATCCTACTAGCTACACAAAGATAATGGCATGCATATGCATTTGCATCAGGATTTGCAGTTGTACGATGTGAGAAATCTTTTCATACAGAAGGAAGCATCTTCAGAGCAGCAGATAAGTCTGCTATGTCCTCATCCCTCTCTTGTGTATGTTTTTTTTTTGTATAACCACTTAGTAAAAGATGAGAATCTAATATTTTAGATATCTTTCTGTTCCAAAATAGTGCTGTTCTGCTCTTCAGTGTATACTACTAACTACTGATGATGGTTATGTCAGCATAATGATTTGGTGTGATTTAAATAAAATCCATTTTTTTCTGTAAAAGTAACATTCTTCCATAGTAATAATGTAATGTCCTCAAGCTTATTAACTCAATGGGACTGCTAACTAAAACTAGTGCTGATACTGTTCTGCTTGTAATAATGGTATGCTTTCTTTTAGCAATAAAATGGCAACATGCTGTATTAATAAGAAAATAAGCTAAGAATGAGTAAGACCCTGAAAGAAATAATTGCCTTATTTAAAAGAAAACATATATTTTTTCATGTGTACATGTGTGTATGTATATACACCCCATCAATAACTTTATTACATAATTTGAGAAGTTAACACTTCTCTCATTTGTGACAAACTCTAATTTTGAATGGAACCATAACTAGGCTTGTTGCCTACTTGCTGTGTAACTCTTGACTAGTCCAGTCTTTGCCCTTCAAATATTAGGCAGATCTACTGTGGATGTATGTGATGCTGTCAAATTATCCTCATACACATCAACATATCTATATTTCCTCACTCTGTTTATATGGGAGATATACTGAACTGAAGGTGGGAACAAATAGTAAAGCAACAGAATACCAGGGGCAAGCCTAAGCATGACTGTCTCGTCTTTGCACACATTCTTCAAAGTAGGTACTGATTCCAAGAAACATGCAATTACTCAATGTATGTACAATTTATGCTTTTATAATTAAATAAACTATTTAATTCAAAGTTGTTTCATGGAGACTTGATACTCATACACTAAGTCATCAGCTCTTAAGATACAGTAAGCACTTGTAAAAGAACCTTATGTATTAAAGCAGCATAAAGTAGTAGATAATGTTGCTTACTGTTAGAGAAAGCCCTGTTGCTTTTTCGTAAAATATAGTTTTATTGTGTAGCTCATATTTGCTTAATGGGGGTAAACTGGATTGATTTCTGCTGCTGTTGGCCTTTACATGAAGGGCCACATCTTCTGTGTAGCTACAGCAGAGCTCCAAGTAGTACTGTCTTTCAGAGTTGAGTGCAACCTTCTTAAATTGATCAAAGCCTACAGTGAAGCAAAACTCCACCTCTTTGTGTAGTTTTGAGGGGAATTTGCTTTTTTTCTAAACAAAAGCATAAAAAAATTAGCAATACTTAGTGACAAAAACATTGAAATTTCATGGTAAAATGTCATATTGCAATAAAAACTAGTAGTAGGGCCATGTTCTGTGCAGTGGCTCATTTCTTATATCAAATCACTTTCATCCTGATTATACTAACTTCATTTGTAAACACTGCCAATCTATGTTAGGCATGAGCATGTTAAGTGCTCTAGTTGCCATGGAGAAGGTCATTCTTCAGTTTTTGAGTGTTTTTCCTTTCTTTCTTGCAGTCTGTACTAAATCCTCAGAAGTGAGGCCCCGTTTGTAAAGTTGCCTTGCAAAAAGTATTCACTGCAGCTAGCACTGATGGTATATTGCTGAAATCAGCAGAAAAAAACTGCACTGTTTGTCAGTTGCTGGGATATTAAGATTGCCCTAGAATGCAGCAAATCAGCTGTTTAATACAAAATTCTTCCTCAAGTTCTTGCTATGAAGGGCAAGCACTTCCCCTTGGTTAAAAACAAACAAAAACCCACTACCTTGTTAAGTGCTTGTATCTTTGTAAAGCCAAAAGAAAACCTAAAATAGAGAGGTTACTCAAGTTTATTTGCATATTTTTGAGTTGGAATACCCATAGTAAAAATCTGCAAAACTTCAGACTCTCCATGAGATCATGTCATCTTCAGCAGAGTTACCTCTTCTACTGCAGTATTTCTTAAAAGGTATCAGCAAACAGAGGAAAGTACTGACAGCAGGACTTGTATTACATCCTTGGCTGCTTCAGGTACAGGTAGGTGGCACCTGGTCCTTAGTCTTTAACAACAAGTTCACTTCCAATAATAACCCCAAGCCCCACTCTGTAAAAACATTCAAAGGGAAAAAAGGCAATGATGAGTAGCATCTGAATATAGATAGAATTGTAAGGAGTAAGTTGATGTGCTTAGAGCAATGACCTCGCTTTTATGGGCATGGCATAAAGGCATGCTGGTTTTTATACTTTTTTTTTCCTCCTGAAAGCTACTTGATCAGTTCATCCCCAAAGAAAAACTACATCTGTTCCCTCACCAGAGGGAGCATATAGATGATTGATTTACAGAAACAAACCCTACATATAAAGCTCCTGCATAGTTCAAGCGCCCCTAGAGCTGAGTTGCAGTCTCAGCTCATTTTAAGTCTCTACAGGGCAGAACAGCTAAGCTTGCTCATTTAAAGCACATCAGGATACACAAAATCACTACTACAGACAAGTTATCAAAACATACCTATCCATTCAAAATATGAGACATCCTACATGTCAGAACAGTCATGTAATGTTGTATCTACTGGGAAGAAAAAAGTTCAGCTTTGTTCCATCTTAGAAGGGTACTTTATGACAAGCATTTGGGAGACCTACACTAAAGAAAGATCATTTCCTCTTCTAGCACTGTTTCTATTTGTTTCTTTAAAAACTGCAATAGAGGTTGAACATCACAGTGCTGTGGCTACCTGTAGAGCTTTGCATTTCTTCTTCAGCCTTAGTTTCTCTTTTATTATCTTACTTCTCTATCTGTTTCTGTATGGAAAAGATTAGGACTTAGAAATACCTGGAGTTTTCTGAAAGACTTAATTCCAAAAACACCACATTTCTCTCCCTCCCTCTCTTCTGATGACAGATATCAGCAACAGCAGGGGAATACCTCAGAGAAAAATAATACAGCAAAACTGCTGCCAAAAGCTCAACAAATGCTTGAGAATATCAAGCACCAGGTTTGTGTCTTTTCAAGGATCAAGTCTTCAACAGAAAGGAAAAGGTTGGCATTTATGGGAACTCAGAGCTTCTGAAATCCCAGAATTTCAACCAACAGAGGGCAGTAGGTTGGAATATTTGCTAAGTATACAACAGAGAATGGACAATGGTAGCCCCAACAAGTACTCCTAACAAAATGCTGTCTGATGAACAGAAGATGAAGAAAAAAGAACGGGGAAAAAAAGGGAAACCAGAACTTACAACACTGTCAAGGGAAGATCCACTTTGCTAAGCCCACTGTATGGCTCTGTGTTAAGAAAAATGTTTTCCTAGCTGACAGATTAGAAAGCTTTGAATACAAGGAACCAACTCTCACACAACAAAGTTTTTCAAGATGTCAAATTCTAAAGTTCTATTTGGGTTTAACAGTGACTGTATTTGTCTTAATATAGCACAGATCCCTGTCCTGAATTTTCCCTTGAAATTGATCATTTCATTTTTAATGCATATAAACATCTAGCAAATGGCTACCTTCCTAGCTACTACAAGTTCATTTTCAGCCTTGATATATTATTAACACAAAACATTCTTTCATCTTAACAAAACACAAGTTGTCAACTGGAAGTATGAAGTCATCTTCATCTACTATTTCCTGTCTGTCCTACCTAGACATGCCTACTGTGTTATGGCAAGCTCTCTGACTGCACTCGAACTACATCACTTGTGATTATCACTGATGTAATTGTATTTTCAAATTCACAGTGCTATCATTTTCTTGGCCTTTATTTGTGAAAGCAGTTACTGTCAGCAGCATCTGGGAAAGTACATCTTCAACAAAAATCAAGGCTCAGATCTCACTGGGCACTTTGCTTTGGTAAAGGCTTTAGAACAAGTTACATCCTAGCACTGAACATTTTGCATCTTTTTTTATTTTTATTTTCCCTCCCAGTTGTAGAAAAACACTTTAAATAAGGGAGTTATGGAGAGATTTCGGCATGGATCCAACGATCCTTAAAAATATACCTTTTATCTACTCACTTGCTGGAACAGCCTTTTCTCATGTTCTCAAGATGGAGCAAAAAATATCAAAAAAAATAAGGACAAACTTCCCAAATTCAAAACACTACACACAAAGTGCAACATAGTACATATCGTTAAGATACACACTGAAATGTCTATGCCAATCTTCAGTCCATCTTGCTGGTCTGCTCCATTCTAACTGCAAAGTGACAAAGTCTGATTCACAAACACCTGAGTCCTCAAAAATCTTTTTTCTCTCTGTTCTCAATTTCTTATCATTTCCAACGGCAACCATGGTGATGATGTTTGTGGAATAGCAATTAGACAGTAATACTTAAAGTCTTAATGCAGTACATATTGATCTCAGTAACTTCATTTTTTTTGTTGCTATTTCTTCAAATTTTCTCTTATCTTTTTCCCAATTCCAGAGGTAGAACTTACACAAGCACAGGACAGTGCCAGCCAACTGACACTTTCTTATCTGCTCTTAGCAGAATTTTTATTTCATTAAAAACTCATGGGAATTAATAAGAACATCTGGAAACCACATCTTCTGACAAGTTTGGGAACACACTGTTTGAAAACTACGGTTCTTTGCATGAAAAAAAAAAATCACAAAAAACCACATAAATCAACCACTAGATTTTCCTAAATAAACAAACAAAAAAAAAATATCACCTGCATTCCTAAGGAGATCATGGTAATACAAAGATTAAGCTTCTAAGGTTGTTAAGATACCAAGCCATAGGAATCAAAGATCCTCCTTCTTCTTCCATTAATGCAAATAAACCTTTCCCAAATATTAAACCAAACTTAACCTGGATTGAAACCCATGTTACACCTAAATTCAGCAGACTCTCAGTTGCCTGTGGTATCTCAAAACACCAGAAGAGAACAAAGCCGAAACACCTGGTTAGCAAACTTGTGAAGTGTTGTTCTGCAAGAACAGTTTGCCATGACTTTCAAATTCTGTGAAATGAAAACTTTACACTTCAAGTTACCTTGAGTAAATAAACAGTACAACTGAAAGACCCCAGCAACAAACTTGACTACCAGTGATCAGTAAGAGAGGTACTGTAAGCAGAAATACATACTACTAAACATCATTAAGTGCCCACAACCCTGAGTTGAACAGCTGCTCCTGGCAGCTGTACCTGGCAAAAGCTTCTCAACAGAAGGATATGGAAAATGAAAGTTAGCTTTAGTTTCTGATAAAGTTAAAATATTACAAACTTTTAGCTTTTATTGAAAATTAAATATATTAGCAAAAGCAAGATTTAAGAAATATTTTACAAATCATTTACATACAAGAAAGCCAGTATCAGACATATTCACAAATATGCAAACCTTTAATTACAAAAAGTACTTAATGGCAGCATGATGCTTACCTTGCCACTGCAGTGTGCTCTACGATTGATATAAGGCATAGAACTCACATTTGCACCAACTTAAAGAGTTCAAATAAAACTTTAAGCTTTTAAATCCTGGATGCACAATCCCAAATACACACACACGCACACTCTAAGACTTCTCCTTAAAAGCTCTATAAACTAAGTGTGTGCTCTGGAAGAACAGCCAGCCTGAAAAGCCCAGTAGAAATATAACTGGTACTAGTGTTTAGTTTTCAGTTTCCTCTTTAACATGTACAGGCCTAGGTATGTAAACCATATTCACAGTTTAATTATTTTTAGACAGAAGTACCTTTTTTTTTTTTTTTTGCATTTGATCCTTAAAATTGGCTCTCAGTTCAGCATACAGTTCGTAATGTCACCTGTTTTGTGATGCATACATTTACAAGATAACTTAAAAATCTGTGCCATATTCATGGTCAAGATAATTCAACAAGAATAGTAATATCCAACAGTGATATTCAACACTATATTTCAAATGTTTGTGCA